AGAGCAGTACTAGACTGGCATCAAGATCTCATCAATTTACAGTTGAGCTGAGTAAATCTAAATTCTATGCTAACAGTTTTTTTTTATCCCCTCACACTTCACACTTGTGAAACACCTTTCTGGCTCCATGCTTTCCAGTCAACTTTAATCTGCAAAAAATTCAAATGCAATGTCAATCGCTATCTACTGTACTTCTGATTGCTCTTTCTTTTTCCCCCGCTCATTATTAATGTTTCTGTTCTTAATTCTTTTACATCCTGTAATCCCTTGTTTCTTAGTGGCTTTACTGCACCGCTTTGCATGGGGTAATACAGACTAAAAAAAAATATGGGCTCTGAAGCAAATTATTGTTTTTATAAGGAATTCAAACTGTCAGTTATAAACACATTTATTAAAGGAAATTGAACATAGAATCAGCTGTAGCATTGTACTGGTAGTTTTACACAATACCACAATTTGTTACAAAACCAAAACATCAACCTAAAAACTAAATTCATGTTCTTAAATGGTCACATCAGATGAAGACGTTCAAATAAGTGCCACATATATCACCAAACTCGTTCAGAAATATCTAAACTGTTGACTGTATAAAACCACTTTCTCAGACTGATGTTCAAGAATGGTTTCAAGTAAATGAAACTTATAGATCATAGCAACGATTATCCTTCTTCAAACTCCTTTGAGCAGCCTTAATTAATCACAAGCAAAGAAGTATACCAGATAACAGAAACCTCACCATTTGTGGACTTCCAACAGCAGCAACAACTAAAATGGATAGCATATATAACTTGAAGAAATAATAATGACATAATCAAGATTTTGACATTCCACACTACTTCAAGCAAAAGGTTAGAAAGGAAATCACCCCATCAATACTGAAAAGAATGATAAAAGCTATTTAAATTGAAAAATTGTTTAAAAAGAAAAATTTTAATTTCCACTGAAAGCATTACTGATGGCTTCAGTCAACGAATGCCAAATGTTTCCTTATAAGGAAATGGATAATATTACCATTGCCATCCTGAACAAATTAAAGTATTGTAGCTTTTATGCTATGAAATGACGGATAAAACTGTAAATATATCCTAGCCAATTTCAGAGTCATATCAATCTGATTCAAATATTTCTTGTTTTATAAAAATAACATATAAACATATGCTACATAATACTGTAGCAAACTTTTTCTGATAGAACTATTTTATATTAGCCTAGAAAACACCCTTTAGGCATATTTTAGGCTAGCTCCTGTGAAGGGCTTTCCCACCCCTGTAATGTAGCTTCCCTGTGTCTTTTCTATAAATACTTTCATGATAATTGTCCAGATGATCTCTGTTATGATATGAATTTATTTATGAATTTAAGTATAGTACAAGATTGGCAGCTAGGTCTCATCATTTTACAGCTGAAATGTCTAGATGTAACTAAGTTCTATGCTAACAGTTTCTTCTCTCACACTTCTTGCTTGTGGAACTCTCTTCCATCTTGTTGATTTTCAGTCACTTTGATCTTCCAAAATTTAAATGCAATGTCAATCGTTATCTCCCGTCTTCTTAATTTGTTCCTTTATTATTCTCTCTCCTTAATAGTATTTTTTTCTTTTTTTTCTCATACTCACTAACATTCAGTAACCGCTTGCATTTTAGTGGCTTTATTGACTTGCTTGGTATGAAATGCTAAGGGGAGAATATTACAAAAATATAATAACAACCAAAAGTCAAACACTGCTGGATGGCAAGATACATCTGAAGAAGGTTGGAGAACATATTGGCTGTAATGATGTGGTGAAGAACAAGAAATTTGTAAAATGGTGTTTTGGAAATGATCAAGAACCATTTTCTTGTATGAAGAGAAACAAGGCTGGAAAAGAATTTAAACAAAGCAGAGAATTAACAAATGCCAACAATATTCTTGATTCTAACAAAACGGAATGGCCAACAAACCAACCAAATGAGAATATCATGCAAAGGAAAAAACAATACGGAACATAAAAAACATGGATGCCAAGATTACTCAAATCATTGTCAGGTGAATAAATTGCTTTAGTACATTATTACAGATTGTATTTAGAGTAAAGGTCAGTATCCTTTGAAAAAAACAACTTTAAAAATTGTTCCAATTTCTGTGCCAGCCAAAAAAGAAAAGAAAATCCTTTTGAAATATTTAAAATCCAAAATATATCTCATTTTAGTGTTTGGAAATTAATTTTATTCTGAAGCATAAATCTAAGTAAAACAAAAATCTAATGAGAATTCTTACTCCTGTCTTATAATCATTGCCAAATTTAGTTTATTAAACATATATAAAAAAAATAATAAAAATGATGGAACAAAGGGAGGAGAATATTATTTAATTGGAACCTGTTTTGTGTCTAAGCACAAACAGTTCATTTTTAAATCTAGGTAAAAAGAAAAATTGTAAATGTTGATTTTCAGGGCAAGTTGGTTTGTGCATTCTGAAGATTGGGGAAACGCTATATTCTCAGCTTCTTTCTTCCTGTTCAATTCTAATTGATGATTTCAATCTGTCCAAGAATGACTGTAAAACACTTGCCCCTCCCCTTTTATAGTCAGAAGTTCACAAATGCATGCTTGGATAGCTTTCTTAGCCAATAAAATAGACCGGTTTGCAGTTTGACATGAAACAGTGGGGGTGATTCTTGTTCCACTGTCCATGTCTAGGGACATTTCATCTAGTTCTTACTTTTAGTACTGTTGAGTTATTGTTCACCCATTTCCGCAGAGTCCAAATACAGACTGCCGAGGCCAGTGATTGAACTCATCATTACTATGTCATCAAATTCTTATAGTACAATTCCATTGTAGATTAAAACATTGGTTAATAAATTTAGAGACACAGTAATTTCGAGTTCAATCCCTGGGCTATGGGGGGGGGGGATGAGCAATAACTGAGTCATGCTTAGAATATAAACTACACATGGCCAGTGGAATGAGAACAGTCTACTCTGTAGATTAAATAAAGGGTTAAGACAACAATAAGAAATGAGAGCAGTAGTTCAAATGTAAATAGAGTAAATAATGATAATTCCTTTCGCCAGAAATGTTCTCTTGATTATTAATCTAATGAACAAAGCTAATATTATCAGTACTATGACTAAACTGGTTTCATACCAGTGCAATATTCAAGCACTTATTACCCAACAGAAATAACTAAGGTTTTACATGACAGATATTGAATAACTGATTATTAAAAATTATATATTGTACAGTTGAAAAGCAAACACAACCACTGGCATAAACAGACATTTAATATATGTATTATAAGACATACAAATCAATATTGCTCCAGTAATGTGCCTAATGCAGAACTTTGGGAAAAAACTATCATAAAAATGGGAAATAAAACCCTACTTTTTACTTGAACAATCTAATGGTTATCAAGTGATATGTCTCAAAAAGGGATATATTTGTTTGAAGTAGCAAAGTGGTTTTGGACTACTGTAACAGAGTAGGACAATCTAGCAGGTAACCGTAATGGACCGGTCCTCATCGTAGTGGTAGGCAATAGGCATAGGCAAAGACTATAGGTGTAGCCAATAGGCGTTGTCATGTACCTCCACATCAGTCTGTATTTATAGCTGATACCAGCCAATCATACTACTATGAGGGGGAACGCAGGTGTATGCATATTCATTACATCATCAAGATTTAAGGATTTTAGAGTAAGAAAGTTAAAAAAAGAATTAATTTTAAAAAATATTATAGATTTATATAACTTTAATAAGTTTATTTGATGCCATCACCAAACTACTAATATTTAATATTGCAGAATTATGGAGCTTGGCTAAGTACAAGAAGTTTACAGCATACCAGTAAACATGAGCCTGCCAGATGCCTAAACTTTGCATTTTATATTAGAGTATTATAGAGTTAGGCTAAGTACAAATACTGGGAAGCTATAGCATTTGGATAAACATTAGTCAACAAGATACCTCAACTTCACATCTAAGATTCACAAATTATTTGCATTTAATGTTATAAAAATATAGTATTAGGCTAGCTACAAGTAATTTATTTGAAGCCATCTAAGATCACCAAACTACTTACATTTAATATTACAGAATTAAGTTAGGCTAAGTCCAAAGAGTTTACAGTAGCCAGGTAAACATTTGTCTACCAGATACCTCAACTTTGCATTTCTGTATATATAATTTACATATTAGAATATTACTGAGTTAGACTTCTAGTATTTGTACCTAGCCTATCTGGATAAATATTAACCTAGCAGATAACTTCACAAACTGAGATATATTTGTTATCCATTTTTTTTTTTAATTATGGTGTTTCATATGCCATCAAATACAGTTTCTTAAAATCTTAGATTAAGAGAAATATATATATATTTTTTTTTTGGATGCAGGTTGTGACAATTTATATTTTTATGATGTAAATGATTTATCTTCAATAAAGATTATTTAACATTTTATTACTGGGGTTAGATAGTTTTTCTGAAGATTAAATCTGCCATATTAACTGACATTGCACATGATAAAGGAATAAGGTATCCAAAAATCAACATGGCTGATATTTTTGTATTTGGATTTACCAGCTGGAAAGTCACATGATCTATTCAAGATGAACTGAACAGGATCAATAATTTTGAGTAATCTCTGCAATGTTCAAGTCAAATTTTAAATTCTAAACAACAATTGATTAAAAGGATCAATCCAAAAATGAAAATGCTTGAAGAGAAAAATCTTTTTTTGGAGAGGCAGAGCAAAATCAACATTGAACAATAACAACAGAGGAATTAATTGATCATCAGGTCAACAGAGAAAATACTGTTTTTCACAATAAACTTCATGAGTCAGTCAAGTGTAAACACACAGGAAACAAAAAGAAATAGTTGCACATGTTATACAATTTTAAAAAATAGTGAAAAAATAAAAAAGATTAAACGAAATTAAAACATGGAAACATATGAGTCTGAAAGGGCATGCTGAACATGAAACTTTTTTTTTTTAGGGTGGCAGGGAGGGCTACCTGGAATGTCGGCGCCAAGACTGATGAGACGTTGTTGTTGCCGCAGAAAGAGACTCATGCCCTTTGACTTTGGGGAACTGGGGACCGACGACGACTGAGCCGGAAACTGGTCATGGCTGGTCGTTCGGGAATATTGACGCTTGACTCGCGGAGATGCTGGAGCCGATTGGCCAGGCCGCGAATTGATCAGCTTTCTCGATGATGGAAGTGTATAATTCGCAGACACTAATGAAATTAAATAATATCAAATAGTTCAATATCTCATCAAGACTAAAATTTAATAAAAATAATTTATGGCATAGTTTACTATACATTTACATAATTTGTACAACTTAAAAAGATGCTTGTTTTTTCATCTAAATTTTCCTATATTTAGAAGAGTGTGAAGATGAAAGTGATAATTTTTTAAATTATTCCTCTACATTTAACCCTATATTATAAATATAAATTAGCTTATTTTTCAGAAACACTAAAAATAAATTATTTTTTTTTTTAGATTTAATAGGTTACTTAGAATTTTAAAAATGAAAAAAGTTTGGCAATGAGAGGGAAAATATAATTACTTTTTAATTTCTTAAAAACAACTTTAAAATTTATTTTAAAAAAAATAACTAAGTTTAATAATCAATTTATAATCATAAACGAAACGTTTTAAAAGCAAAGTTAGCAGGGGAGATAACCCAGGTTTAAAAAGCCAAAGATGGTGACAGGTTATGTTAACATTCTTGGCCTATTGTTTCTAACATTACTGAGTGCTTTGAATCATTCAACAATTGCTTTTAACTCTTTGCAAATATGACTACTTTAACAAAATTTAAGAAAATTCTTTTTAATGGTATTTCGAATTCGCAAATCGGAGCTTATTCAAGTAAACATGTGAAAATTATTCATAACACTTAAAAAAATAATAGCCAAATCATGGGCTAATTAATAAATACTGATGTTAAACTCAAACATCCCCCAAAATTCTCGCAATCATTCTTAAGCAATTATATCAAATAAAACCCTTACAAGTCACATTTTAAAAAACCAACATGGAAAACTACAAAGTAATAACTGTACCTAGCTGCTATTCACTGCCTAAAATATAAAAACAAGTTTTAAAACTAATATATTTTAAAATTATTTTTATTCATATTTTTAAATAAATAACCTCAAAATGAAGATAAATTTAAGTTACTGGGTAGAAGAAAATCGATTATCATCAAAAGGTGGTGTTTTTAAGCACATTTGGGAAATGCAAGATTTTAATAAGAAAGATATTAAAAAATATATATATCTATATGTAAAGGAAATTTTAAATATACAAGCTAAGAAAATACCATATTTTGTGGCATATAAGAAGCACCAGTATAAAGGACATACCCTAAATTTAAATGAAATTGGAATAATATAATTTGGGGAAATTAATAAAACATGCCCACACTCCATTGGGAGAGATTCATTGATCACGATCCTAACATTCGCTTAAGAAAATGCAGTATAATTTTAAAGGTAAGATAAAAAAACAGTCTTATATGCTGCAAAATATGGTAACTTTAAAGGAAAAGATTTGAAATGGTGAAAGGATTGCATATAAATAGTAAATAATAAGGCACTACCAGCATTTGTACAGTGATTTGGCAGCATCATAAAAATATACAAAAAGTTGCTGAAAAATGACTCAGCCATACCCATTTAAAAAAATCTGACCAAATAACAAAATAACTTTTTTTTTTTTTCTTTTTTTTTTAAGAGATTCATAGTCAGGCTGTGAATTCTTCAGCACTCCTTTATATTTCAGTATGACTACCAATTTCTAGAATGCAAACAAAAAATAAAGAAGCCAAGATTTCTTCAGCCTCACAAATTTGAGGAAAAAAAAATATCTGGATTATTCTTTCAGGAAGCAAAAACAAGTAGATGCTTAATGGTTATAAGAAAAAAAAATGAAATAAAAAAAAAAGGAAGAAAAAGAAAAAATTTTTAAAATAAGAAAAAAAAAAAATTAATCAAGGATTTCAGAGTTAGTATTCAACAAGTCATCTTTTCAAATCGCAATCATGTATGACAGGAATTCAAAAAGACATCTTTAAATGTCAACAGCTTTGTTTATACAAAAATACCAGCAATATACTCAAAAAAGACAGCAAAATTAATACAAAGATGTTGATACATGTGTCTGCAACCAAGACATTTCAACAATTCAAGTTTATATCATTGGTTATATGACTTCTAACAGCTTGAATTATAAGCAATCATTTCTCTAAAATAAATTAATATTTTCACAAATAATCAACATCATAACAAAACAAAAATTACAAATTTTTGTACTGAAGCTTTGTATCAAAAACATGTCAACAAATCTATTATATCTCACTTATAATTTAAGGTTTGTCACTGAGGAAAAAAAGTATTAAATGTTCACCTGATTAGTTGAATATTCAACACCTTTAATCGAGAGAGTTCTCATTTTTTTTTAAGTTATTTAAAATAGGATTTAAAATGTGATTTGAATTAATTTAATAGTCCCTTACACTTCTTGCCTGTGAAACTCTTCCAGCTTCTTGCTTTCATGTTAACTATGATCTTCAAAAATTTAAATGCAATATCAATCATCATCTTCTGTCTCCTCAAATCCTGTTCTTTTTATTCTTTTTCCTCAATAAATTTTATTCAGTTTCTTTCACTCTCAGTAACCCCTTGCATCGAAGTGGCTTTATTACTTTGAGTGAAATGATTGAAAAAGAAAAAAAAAAAAAATTTAATGTACTAATTAAATTTTATATTCGTCTTCATGTGATTGGCTAAAGAACAATATCTGCATTTACTAAAATAATATAAGAACAATGTATCTAATTAAAGTATTTAGTAGATTCAGTTTGTCATAAAACTAGTTGCTTTTAACACATTTTACAACTTCAACTTTAAATTGTTGCCATTTTATAATTTTAATTTTGCACATACACAGTTTGTTTTCTATTTTGTTGACTGCACAGTATTGTAGGGTCAGATGAGCACAATCTGTGAGAAAAAGAGAATGACGACAATTCATTCCACCAGAAATTTGGAAATGGCATGCTGTACTGCTTAGCATTTGTGCCAGAAGCTCCAATACGAACATTTCAGAATGTTTCGGGGTCAATCTGAGGTCAGTGCAGAGGATTCAGAAACATTTGGATGAGTCAAATGGTGATTACAAAGGTTGTTTTTGGTTTGTTTTACAGCATATCAACCTCAATGGGTTATTTAATGCTGACAAAATTTTTATTGCTGGCAATTTTTTTTTTTTCTTAAAAAAAAAAAAAAAAAAAAAAAAAAAGGGATTACTGGTAATATCATTTTTTACAAAGTATTTCTGGTATTAAAACCTATTTTTACACTTTTATAGTATTTTGACCAAAGTTTGAGTTTTAACTATTTTCCCATAGCTGGGACCTTAACAGGTGCTACCACCCCAGGTCAGGGTGGACCTGGGAACAACAGCAATTAAGAGATGGTTTCACGCTTCTCAAAACCTCCTGAACAGAAGCCTTGCTGTAGGACCTAGTTTATTGTCTTACCCAGGACGCGCATGTAGTTTATCATCATACCCAGGGTGGATTATAAAGGTTTTTGGAGTGATCATTAGTGATGGCTACATTGTGCCTGAATTCATTCTCCCACAGGGCTTCAGACTCAAAAGAATAGCCTACATCAAATGCCTTGAGGAGGTAGTGCTGCCCTGGGTCAAAAGGGTAGCTGCTGGAAGAGCCTATGTCTGGCCACAGGACTCTGCACCGTGCCACACAAGCAAGAGAACCCAGTCATGGTTGTCAGACAATTTTTGTGACCACATCACCCCCTTACATCTGGTTGCCTAACTCCCCAAACTGCAACCCCCTTGATTATGTGTGGGGTGCAGTTAAGCAAGTGCCCGACAAAACTCCTTTAACCCCAAAGATGGACTGAAGGCAAAGATTATGGCAGCATTCACCAACTTAAACAAGGAAACCATCCAGAAGAATTGCAGGACATTCCAAAGTCATCTGGAGGCTGTGGTTGAAGCCAATGGTGATTTTATTGAATAAATTTACTCTTTAGAATTTCAAGATATTTTTGTGTAATTTTGGTAAATATACCTGTTAAAATGAGACTTTAGTGTTATTTTCCTTTTTGTGTAATTTAGACGACAATTTATCATCACACCCTGAAGATATGACATGTCAGAAGGCAAATATTTGAATTTGTTCAATCTATAAATGTCAGTTCAACAAATATATTTTGATTTTTAATCATAATTTAATCTTTTATAATCATATTTACTTCTAAAGTCCTCAGAGTGTCATAAGTCAAATGGGAGTTTTTAGGTGTTTGCTGAATACTGATAACTCTAATGTCAGGGTATAAGATACAGGATGATTTTTGGAGATTGGGAGATTTTTTTATCATTTCACCCCTCACAAGACAGTAATGCCTCTAGTAAGCAGGAGATTATAGGGAGTGAAAGTGAAAGAGAAGACAGAAAATAGGAAGGACTGAAAAGGACTAAAGATGAATGAGGTTTAAAAAAGACAGAAGATGGCGATTGAAGTTGCAGTTACATTTTTGAAGATTGTAGTTATCAGGGAAGCAAGGAAACAGAAGGGAGTTCCACAGGTGGAAATGCAAGAAAAGAAACTGTTGGAGTAGAAGTGGCAATTGCATTTAGTTATTTCAACTGTAAAAGTGTGGGACCTAGATGCCAATCTAGTAGCATGCTTAAATTCATGTATTCAGGGCACCAAGGAAAAAAAAAGCTCATCAGAACAGTTGCCATGAAAATATTTGTAGAAAAGACTGAGGGAAGCCACGTCACATCAGTGAGAAAGTGTCTGAAGTTGCATTGACTGGTCAGGATTGATTACATTACAGATCCTTCTTTGGATTTTGTTAAGAATCTTGAAGTGTACAGCAGGAGAACCAGACCAGATATGGCAACAATATTCAATGCACGGATGAATGGTAGATTTGTAAATATGTAAGATCAATTCTGATGAGAAAAATTTTCCGGCACAACACATTGACTCAACTTTCCTTGCCGTAGATGGTGAAACATGAACTTACATCTCACATCAGCTGCTCTGTCAATTAAGCTACATAAACTATGGCTGGCACAGTATCAAATCTAACAACATAAATCTTCTTTACCACCCAGTCCCACAATTACTTCTTAATATATTTGTGATGTACACTAGTATTATGAGTAGAAGTAATAGAATCATCAT